GCATTAGAGAAACAGTCTTCATGGAAGGATGAACAGTTAGTTCATGAGCAAATTCTCTAGAGTGCTACACTCCCAGAAGCTCGCCTTCAAAATCAGTCATGCATATTTTCTTACATTTCCTTTTATTTTGGAGAAAGAAGAGAAGTTGTCAATATGCATGATTGTAAAAATGTTTTCATTTTGTAAGGTGTTCAGAATAGTGGTGATAAAAGGATATATAGGGAGGGTAAATAAGATAGCTCAGTAAGACTACTACTCTCTGATCCAGCAATATCCATGGTCCAGTATGATTTTAGTTAGCTGGATGTCTACTTGTCATGGATGTGGCCAAGTTTCCCGCAGTCCCATAAAGTTTGTTTACAGCCACCAGCCCTGTCTCTCAGGGTATATCTACACTACAGAGTTTTTTTCGGAAAAACGGCTGGCTTTCAAAAAAACTTCAATTATGTCCACACTGCAATCACATTCTTTTGAAAGAAAATCAAAAGAACAGAGGAGTTTTTCTGACATTGGTAATCTTCATTCTACAAGGAAGAAGCCTTTTTCCAAAAGAGTTATTTTGGAAGAAGGCGTGTGAGGTGGGGGAAGAGGGAGTTATTTTGAAAGAAGAGGAAAAAGCACAGGTGCCCTGGTGGCAACTCCGTCCATAGTAATTACAGCTGAAATGCAAGATAGCATCCATTCAGTGTGGACGCGATCTTTCAAAAAAGCAGATTGCTTTTTCAATGCGCTTTTGCAGTGTGGATGTTCTGTTTTGGAAGAAGTTTTTTATAAGATCTCTTCCGGAGAAGTTTCTTCCAAAATAAGCCTGCGGTCTAGATGTGTCTTTAAAGAGCCCAGTAAACAATGGAAGTATGGGTAATGCTGCTAAACAATGGGGTCTGGCAAATTCTCTGGTTCAGCATCGGTCAGGTGGTAAAGGTCTTTGGGATCTATCAGGTTGGAGGGTCTATGTAAAACTAAAGGATTACAGGACAAAGTGCTCAGTGTGGGGTAAGCATAAGAAGTATGGCTGAATAATGCAATATTTTACCTAATTGGTTAAACCATAATCCTGGTTCACCAGACTGCAGCTACCAATCAGGCATAGACTACCATAATTTCCTGATTGTGAAGTTTTATTATTATGTCTTTAAAATGGGAAGAGCAGTTGAAGACCTTTAAGGATAAGATTTTTCAAATAAAAATGAAGCAGTTTATCTTGGTTTATCATTCAAGTTTCCATAGAGGTTCATTCTGATGTGAAGAAAAAATTGTGGGATTTTTTGGTGGGGGGAGTGGGGCTTCATTTTTTAAAAATGGCTTTATATGTAAAGGTGTTACAGCATGAAATGCAGCATTTATCCTTTAAACCTACTTGTCCGCATACTATACTCACACAAAAAAAAAAAGAGCATAAATCTTTAACCTTTTGGAAGGTTTTGAATGAAATCTCCTTATCCATGTAAAGCCATTAGATATAGATTAGTATAAACATGGATACTTTGCTTCCTCTCCTTTCTTATCCTTCACTTCCCAGCTGTGCCTTTTATGACACCTGGTGCTCAATAGTCTCGCACAACCATTCAGCCAAAGACCACCCAGCACAACTTTAAGTAGTCTTAAGTCTTCAAGTTTAAGTAGGTAGTCTTTAGTGCTACTAGAATATTTGTTGTTTTTTAGGATTTGGCTAGCATAAGATATTTCACCTTTATTAGTACATCTGTAGATAGTTCTTTGTCCTTGTTTTACCGTAGATGATCATGAAAAGTGCATGTAGGTGATGTATAATTTACTGTGGGGTTCATGGTAGGAGGTTGTCCAGCTAGCAGAAGGAGGACAGAAGACACTTGATATGGATTTTTAATCAGGCCACAACTTTATTATTAGGTGTCTGGAACTACCCAGTGGATAAAAGTGTACAATGCAGGCAAATCAATGTTCATTGACATAACAACTCCCGTTTTCCACTAGCCCTCACCCCCCTCATTTTTCCTCCAGGTCCCTCAGCCAAGCCATGGCTTGACCTTACCATCCACCCCACTTCATAGGAGAATGAAAGTGAGTCATAAGAATTACCTACCCCATTCCATTAACTAGCATCTCCTTTTCAAGTCCATTACCAACCAGATCATTTATCAGGTCACTGAATACTTTCCGTATGGATCACCTGCACTCAAGCTCTGCCCCACACTTACAAAATAAGATGTGACATAGAAACTAACCACTTTTCTCCTTGCTGACACCCACTGTCGGGATGGCAACAAACAAAATCCATGGAAGCCAATTAGCCAATTTGGTGGTAAGGGAAAAAATTCTTTCCCTTACCACACCACAAAGGAGCAATTAGCACAATTCCCACCACAAGTCCTAACGCCATTCTAAAGGTTACACCTCTTAAAGTAATGGTCACCAACTGGTAGATTGGGATCTACTGGTAGATGTTGGAACCTCTGACAGATGATCCTGACTGGTTTGGCCAGGAAGCTATCAAGCATTGGCACTTCAGTTGCCCCTCCACCCATTGTCATGCTGCTCCTGCCCTCTGCCTTTGAGCTGCTCCTTGGGAGCCTCCTGTGTGCTGTGGAGGAAGTGGGAGGGAGAAGAGGGGGAGCACTGATGTCAGGGTGTCCCTCCTCCCCCCACTTCTGTACCCTATCTCCACATAGAGAGAAGGGGATAGTGGGAGCTTGGCAATGCAAATCTCTGTCACTCTTACACACTGTGTGTGTCTGTCATTCTCACAAACACACACTGTGCTTCACTCTCATCTCCAACCCCAACACACACGAGGGGTTGTTGTTACTTCTTTTTCTGCTTGCCCCTGCAGCCCCTGGGAGAGGCAGAGCACATGCTGTCCTTGCCTGCGGACACCACTCCTGCAGCTCCCATTGATCAATAATGGGGAACTGTAGCCAGCAGAAGCTGGGGGCTTAGTGCCTGTAGATGAGGGGCAGCACATGGCACCCTGGAGCCATTGTTGTACATGCCAGCTACTTTCAGGAGTGGTGCAGGGCCAGGGCAGGAATAAGCCTGTTTTAACTCCACTACTGCACCACCTAGAAGTCATCTCAATTAAATGGTGCCCTGCCAGAGCCTGCTTCCTGAACCCCTGTCCCAGCCCTGAACCTCCTCCTACACCCAACCTCCTGCCCCAGATGTGAGCCCCCCTGCACCCAAACTGCTTCCCAGAGCTTGCACCCTGGACCCCAATCCCCCATCCTGTGCTAAGCTCGGAGTCCCTCCCACACTCCAAACTCTTTGGCCCAAGACCAGAGCCTGCACCTCAACCCCTTACCCCAGCCTGGTGAAAGTGAGTGAGGATGGGGGAGGAAAAGAGATGGAGTGAGCAGGGTGAGGCCTTGGAGAAGGGTGGCACGGGGTGGGGCCTCAAAGAAGGGGCAGGAAGGAAGTGGGGTAAGAGTATTTGGGTTTGAGGTAGATCTTACATTTCACTTAAATTAAAAAAGTGATCTTGTGGTTAAAAAGGTTGGAGGCCACTGTCTTAAAGCCTTCTGCCTTCACATTCCCAGGGAGTGCATCAACACTGCAAAGCTAACCACCACACACCTTTTTGCAGCACTTTCTCACCTCCTCCTCCATCCCTCCTCTTCTGTAAAGCACTAATGCCCCCTGCCAAGTCTGGAAAAGGTCCCCCCTAGAATCATTGAATCATAGAACTGGAAGGGACCTCGAAAGATCATGAAGTCCAGTCCCCTGCAGGACCAAGCATGGTCTAGATCATCCCTGATAGATGTCTGTCTAACCTGCTCTTAAATATCACCAGAGATGGAGATTCCACAACCTCCCTAGACAATTTATTCCAGTGTGTAACTACCCTGATAGTTAGGAAGTTTGTCCTAATGTCCAACCTAAACCTCCCTTACTTCAGTTTAAGCCCATTGCTTCTTGTCCTATCCTCAGAGGCCAAGGAGAACAATTTCTCCCTCCTCCCTGTAACAGCCTTTTAGATACCTGAAAACCATTATCATGACCCGCTCTCAGTCTTCTCCTTTCTAAACTAAATAAGTCCTATTCCTTAAGCCTTGCCTCATCGCTCATGTTCTCTATACCTTTAATCATTTTTGTTGCTCTTCTTTGGACCTTCTCCAATTTCTCCACATCTTTCTTGAAATGTGGTGCCCAGAACTGGACACAATGATCCAGCTGAGGCCTGATCAATGCAGAGTAGAGCAGAAGAATGACTTCCTGTGTCTTGCTTACACTATCCCAGAATCATGTTTGCTATTTTTGCAACCCTGCTACTTTGGGTGAGGTGCAATCAGTCATTTTTAGCAAGAGTCTTGATGACACACAGCACAGTAATGCAAATAGAATGGCTTCCTGACATCTCTTCAAACTGAATAGAATAGCATGTGGATTTTAACCATTGCTTCTCACAATCTTCTCAGTGGCATCAGGCAGACCAATGTATTGTGAGACAAGGTGAATGAGACAATATATTTTATTAGGCCAACTTCTTTTGTTGATCAAGACAAGCTTTTGTGCTGACACAGAGCTTCTTTTTTTTTTAGGTTTGGGCAACATACTTCATGTCACAGCTAAATATGCAGTGAAAGAGACTGCACTATGGCCATTCTGAACCCTCTGGCTTTGATACCTATGTGAATCTATGCAACATGTAAAAGGACACTTCAGAGAATATTAAAAAAAGATTCTTTTTATTATATTACATTTTCAGAGGTCACTGTAATCCCAAAGACAAGCCTGTAAACCAGTTATCCCAAGAGAAGCCAGGAAATTAACTAGCATGTCTTTTATGCAATTTGTATTTTATTTGCATCATAAAAGTATTAATGTTCCTAACGCTTTGCTTCCTGCTAATGAAGATATCATCGTGCTATTATACAAATGCTGATAACCTCAATTTTAAACCAAAAGGTGCTTATCTCAGAGTAAGCAAAATTACAGTATTTGGTTATTATAATGTATTCTATTCAGTATCTTTTTTTTCCAGCATTAGTTTGAAACTCTATTTTCGGTTTTGTTTTTGCTTTTAGTAGCTAAGGATGTGAACATTTTTTTTGATGAGTTAGAAGGAGTAAACAGCCCTTCCAAAGATGATGACTCTCTGCTTCACCATGGTAATTTGACCAGTACTTCAGATGATGCCAGCAGATTGGAAACACTTCGAGAGGTAAGAGCCCATAGACTAAGCCGTACAGAGAATAAATGGCATTTGTTTGAAAGACTTATTGAGTGGAGGCCCGCTCTTCTCTGTTGCTGTGATGGTATGTGTGGACTCTTAAAAATGGCCTCTGCAATAAAGTTAGTAGAAATATAAAGTCTTTAGGATTCAGAATCCTTTCACCATTCTTGGGGCTCTTCTGTGAACCCTTTGCAATTCATCAACATCCTTCGTGAATGGCTGACACTAGAATGGAAGACAGTATTCAAGCAGTGATTGCCCCAGTGTTTTATTGGTTCATCTGGCCCATCAGTGTGTCCCTGCATTAACCCTCATGGAGTGGAATGACCTAATGCATCTGTGATAAACAGCACTAGCTATCAGGCATAGGACATATGACACCATCCACTGTGTAGTGTGTGAAAGAGCAAATGCGATCATACAAAATGATGGCAATATGTACAGAGATGGGAGTTGTGACTTTGCAGCCTACAATGTCTCCCCACCCTTCATGCACACTTTGCAACATTAACTTCCTCTTAGGGTATGTCTACACCGCAGGGCAAAATTTGAATTAAGCGATGTAACTTCAGCTACATCAATTGCGTAGCTGAAGCCAAAATAGCTTAACTCGGCTTTTGGCGCTGTCTACACAGAAGGAAGTTGATGGAAGAACACTCTTCCTTCTACTCTCCTTACTCCTTGTGAAATGAGAGTTACAGGAGTCAGAGTAAGAAGTCCTCCAGCTTGCCATTATTTCAAAATAAAGGCTTGTAGTGTAGACATTCACTATGTTATTTCAGAATAATGTTAGTTACGCCGAAATAATGCTGTTACGTAGACATAGCCTTAGTGACTTTTGCTTCTCAGAGCTAGGGTCCACTAGAAAGAGTGCTGAGGATCAGTTAGTTTGTCCATTAGGGCACAATCCACTGGGCTGAGCAACTCTGCTCCCAGGGATCATCACTGTCTTACTTGCTGTTTTTAAACTCATACCACCATTGCTGTGGCCAGTAGAGGAGGACTAGTTGGATTTTAAGTGGACTAGGAACCATAGAATAAGTAAGGCCAAAATTATTCAAAGTGGGAGTACTAAGTTTAGATCCTTACATTCATATTTAGACATCAGAAAAAAGTGGCCTGACTTTTAAATGATCTAAGTCTCTACAACTCCTAGTGGTTGCCCGTTCAATTTTAATTCATACCTGCTTCGACACACACACTCCCTGCCTTATGCATATGCATTATTTTTAATTAAATGATTAGAAACTTTTTTCCACAGTATCCATGTCTTCTTCAATGTACAAAATGAGCACAAAAAGAATTTCACTATGGTTACACAGACAACTATAGATTTGGCATTTCCTAAATCTTTGCTTTATTTTACAGATTAAATAGTTTTTAACATTCAGAAAAAGCCATGCCATTATTTATACTACTGTACAACCAAAGCATGGTAGGCTCTGTACAGACACATAGGAAGTTACAGCTCTTGGTGGTGGAGCTGGGAACGTAGCACGGGGGGCTGGGAGCCCAGTGGCGTAGGGGGCGGGGTGAGCAGTGTGGCCAGGGATCTCTGGCTAGTTCAGGGGCAGCGGGGCCACAATGAGTGGGCAGCAAGGAGAGGTGGTGGGCTGGGAGGCCAGTGGCAGGGGACTTCTCTAGTGTGGCAAATTTCCTCATTCGGGACTGGCCAGGTTTTGAGGGTGCCGGCGCAAGAAGGTCTAACCTATAGCAGAAGGAGAGGAGATATATCTCAGGTAGCTAGGGCCAGTCTCAGGGAGGGGTGTTTAATATCAGAACAGAGACTTTGACTTGAACTCCATATTCATTGCTTAGGCAGTGCAGTGACACGAGCTCTGGAGTATGTCTCGTGAAATGAGGTTTACCGGGGCGGTCAACAAAGTCTTCCCTTGTCGACCACGGCATGTCCAGACCACCGCGCGGTGCCACCAAACAGCTGATCGGCACAGCGCGGCGGCCATTTTTATGTAAATGAAGCGGCGATTATTTAAATCACCGCTTCATTTCCCTATGTCTAGTAAACTCATCTACATGGCTCCATTGATGGAGCATGTAGTCCAGACATACCCTGAGGCGTTATGTCTGGGTTAGAGACTCAGTTCAGTTCTTACAGTGGGAAGCAAAGGGAACTTCAGTTTAGCTTGAAATGCAAATCTGAATTCCGTCAGTACTACGGAGTCACTATCAACATCATCATAATATGTGTTAGATCAGGGCAGATCCTGTGTTGCAGCTGCTGGGACACAGATCTCAGAACCCACAGCCCAAGGGGAAAGGGCACAAAGGTGGCTTTGAATCACTTGTGGGACCTCTGTATTCCAGGCCCTACTTTAATTTACAGTAGTTTCCCAAGGGCTGTGTATAGACACAGAAAGGAGACAATCAGTCCCATTGTTTTAAAAGATTTCACCCTATCCTTTGTTTACTTAAATATCCCTTTACTTTTTTTCTCTCCTCTCCCAAAAGGGCAGTTTTATAGGGGAGGTTAGACACTCTGTTTTTCTGAATTATTTTCATATTTATTGCTTTGC